ATGCAATGAATATATACAGACAAGTAAAAATATTCATATATCATTTTCAGAGTTAAAAATTGGTACATTATAAAATAAGACATCTTACATAAGAAAATAAACATTATGTACAATATAAAAATATGAATTAAACTAAAGGTTGAGCATTTTCTCTCGTTACTTTAAATCTAAACTTCATTCATAATATTTGATATTTTTGTTATAAGCATAAATAAAAGGAGGTATGAACAGTGGCGTAGGAATGGACTGAAAAGTGTGGGAGGGGGCAAACATCTGCAATATTTGCTTCTCCGCTAAGCATGCGGCTTAAGGAGTAAGAGCAAATACTGAGTCAGAAGAATGTGTCCAGGTAAGGTGACATGTCTTCCTGCGGACTGTTACCTTGTGAACTAGCACGTTAAGAATCCGGCTAAGCGGTATCGGTCTAGTACAAAGCAGGGTATTCATATCACATTATTATACTTCACGTAAAAATGCAATATTTTGATTGGCTTATACGAGGGTGTTAATTTACTCTATTCTATGGTAAATACTCTATGACCCTTCACGGAGACGCTTGATCAAGTGTGCGCTTTATTAAATACGGATGGTTGTTATGTACAAAACGTCATAGTTTATTACTTTGAATTTGAAATTTAATCGACAGTTATATTAGAACATTCAGTATAATAAATTAGATAACACATATCTGAGAGGGTGATAGAGCAGATTGTTACCCCTCGAAAAGACATTGTCAACCTTGGCTTCGCCTCAGTTGACAATGTTTTCTCGGGGTAATAATCTGCTCAATCACCCTCTCAGCTATGTGTTATTCATATATTAACATATTCTCGTCTTGAATATGCATATTAATTTACCACTGGACATTAAGCAGCAGTCCATCATTATCATTAATTAAAAACAAGACAAGAAACAAGTATGTTGCCTGTCTATAGATCAATTTCACAAAGAGGCGATCTTTTAGACTAGCTGTCTGTTTCAAAATCTTTTGCCGTAAACATAATGATGAACTATCTTCTGGCAGGTACTCCTTTGCAAACAATATATTTCATATCATTTTCACAACTACTTTTATGCATGGTCAGCTTTATCATTCACCGAAATTAACGGAATACCTATTTTCCGTGCTCATTTTGCTCATTAATGCTCAATATTATACAAACTATGGGCATGTAGAACAAAAGTAGGAACACAAACTGAACCAAAACCTAAAGTTGTTTTTGCTCACCACTTAGACAACCAATAACCAAAACACAATACATTCATTGCTTATAAATTATTTTTTTAAGTTTGACAATGGAATTGTGTACACAAATCCCAACATTTGACGTTAATATACATGTAGCATGATATTACACGTAGCGTTTGTTCTAGAACGGGAACCTGTCGTGAATTTAAAAGTGACGTAACAGACGTAAACGTCACACTACTACTGGCGTCAATCGAAATAAAACCATATCCAACTATCGCGGTCATCACGTGGCTTTTACACTTCAGTTGTATATCATTAATGGACGATTGATTATCAATGAAAATGAACGGGGTACATACTATTAGATTAAACGGTCATAACTTTTTTGTTGCATTGTGTATTTTACCTCCCAACCCCGCGTTTATAGTACATTCATTTTTACAATTAAAAATGTTTTAAATTTCAGTTCAGATATATGATTTCTTGCTTCAAAATAAGTTTGAAAATTGAGGTGACATAACCACACAGCCTCCGTTGATTTCTTCGGTAAACTCGATAAAATTGCAATGGGATCTTATTATATAATCAATTTTCTCAACTTATGTATTATTACTAATATCCTTCCAATCCCTAAAAAGATCAACAACATATTCATATAAATGAAATCGTAAACCATATTAGTTTAGGTATCAAACTTTTTGCTTCAAAATTTGATTGAAAAGTTGACATTTTGGCATTCTTTAGCAATATTTTAAACATGGCGGCCGCTGTTGGAAGTACATGTAAACAACGTAACGACATGCCGGTATTCATTTAGTTATTAATCAAAAAGTAATATTTCAAATTTGTATTAAAGTGTGTCTTATTGTATTTAAGAAATTTCTTATTTCTCCTTTTCTTTAATATATTAATTAGAAACAGTCTCTCGCACTCAAAATAAAGATTTATATGCATTAACCATGCAGTTTACATTGACAGCTTGGGCCGACTTGTGAAGATATATTTTGTAAGATATTTACGATGAAAATCGAATAAATGTTGGATGCTTGCGTTTTCAGTAATTGTCTTACCTTAAAGCAGCAAAGAATCAAACATTGTTTCTCTTTGTTAAAGTGGATACATGCTGTTTGTTTTGATAAAATTTTGAAGTTACGTAAAAAAAAATCATGGCGACCAAATAATTTTCAAACGTAGAAGATGTTCGACACTAATTTTACGCATGCAAATGATTCAATTTGATTTCACTGTTGATATTGCAATTACGTATGACACGTTTATATTGTCACTTTAATAATACCCAAGGACATATAGCTAGATTAAGGAGATATAAAGTCATCAACGTGATCCCAAAGAAAACAAACATGGCACCTAATCACGATGTAAATTTTGACAAGACCTGTGTACATGTAGATTAGTATTGTTCGATTCTTAATGAAATTAATTTATGCTATTATTTTATATCAATAAAAGAAAATCTCGAATGGATGGTAACCGAGGTGAAATATCTATATTTTTCAATTTTCTAATCATCACAAGGGTAACCAGTAAATTTGACATAATTCTTATTAAACCAGTAACATGCAGAGTTATCGAATGTAACTATGACTGGAATAGTTGCATATGTAAATATTTTTGTTGTCACCACAACTAATTTGGGTACATTTCATGAATACACCACAAACGATGAATCTGTACTTCAAAGTAATCTTCAGGTTTTACTTATAATGGGCCCAAAATATTGGCCCCATGGCATTTTTGAGAAATTACAAAGGCCAAAATATTGGCCCTATGGCACAGAACTTGTTAATAAGATAATAATTTGCCATCAAACGATGGTTATAACCGTTTGAGTGGTCACGTGGAGGCATGCTATCTATCTATCTTCATATTTCCGCACTCAGTCACAACTTTGACTATTACGTGCCGTTGCATGCGTGGCTTATTTACAATTTAAACGAAATAAATGTTCAGTAATTTTACGTTACATTGCATTTGTGCATAGAAAAATAAAGTAAAAATATAACAGTGATTTAATAAATTTTTTTTTGTGGATTGTTATCCTATGTACAGTGGCGGATTTACCGGGGGGGGGCACAGGGGGCACGTGCCCCCCCAGTCGGGGTCACCAAAAAATTTTTCTAACATAGTTTTATTGCTACTGTATCTGTTTATCTATCGATATAGCTAGATATCTAGATCTAAAATCAAGACACAGCTTGATCTGACTTCCTAAACTGGTCGTTAATTAACCCCAGCTTCAACATGCGTGATTTATGACAACTTATCGATGGGTGTGTAAATATTGACACCTTTGTGTAATGTCTATATCCAAAAGCATTTATGTTAACTACATGTACATCTACATGCTGATTGGAATTAATACGAATATATTTATTGATTTCTAATACAATATTACATGATCAAGATCGATTAACAAGAGAAATCTTCTGATCAGGAAAGACATTACCAACTAAAATCGGTCTGAAAAGAATATGTAAAAATAGATGTTTAGTGTCAGGAATGTTAGCATCGATATGAGATACGTCTTTATTACCAAACACTCACATTGTATACGGTTTCTGGGGAATGTGTCTTTCTCAGAACAGTCTTTTTCGGACTTTATTAAACAACAAACGATTTTTTTTCAATGCATACAGCATTTTTTTAAACTGAATGTCGTGTTTTCCCCTTTATTTTTTTTATAGAAACCAATGATTTGTCTTTAAAAAAAACCTTAAGTCCCCCTCCACGAAACATGAATGGTCTGTGCCTTATATATATATCATTAATAAAATGATATTGTACTTTTAGAAAACCTATACTCATATTTGAGATAAAGAACAGCAACAAAAGCGCTGTTCCTTTGCTTATTGTGTGTTTTTCTGCTGTGCATGTACTGATTTTGTGTCGTGGATGGATACCCAATATCCATTCTTTTTCTATTATAGTACAGAAATATGTGTATACACATTTTTTTCTTGTTTTAATTACCATGTATGAGGGTATGAATAGGTTACCATGAATGAGGGTATGAATGGTTTACCGTGAATGAGGGTATGAATGGGGTTTACAGATTAGAGAATAATGGTCAAAAAGTAAAGACTAGAAAAAAATGTGCCCAAAAAATATAGAAAACAGATTAAAGGTGTGATGAACTATAAAGAATAGAGGACAATTGGCAGCAAATAAAAGAGTAGAAAGAAATGGATCCAAAAATAATGAAAAGACCCCCCCCCCTCCACGACCACCATCATCCCCAATACATGACACCACCACCACCCACACTTGCATATATACATATCTAAACAAATCTTTAATTTGGTTTCATGGTGCCCCCCCAGACTTCGAGGTTCTGGATCCGCCCCTGATGTATATCGCCTCAACCTGCCAATGCCGTAGTCAAACCAGAACATTTTGTTATTTTCTACTTCCCAACTATTTTGACCTATAATTGTTTACTTTTTACACATTGTGACTTGGATGGAGAGGTGTCTCATTGGCACTCATACCGGCCACATCTTCTTATTTATATTAGCGGTATTAAGCAGGAAAAGCAACAATTAACTTGTCTGCTCGGAGTCGGAATAATGTGTCTGGTATGGTGAAATTTCGTCTTGCGGACTGTTTCTTGGTGCAGTAACACGTATAAAATCCGACTCATCATGACTGTCTTGTAAAATATTTTACTGGTACATTGCTGTATCTCACTTTCTACGTCTAGTTTATGGTTATATGCGTTTCCATTTTGTTTACCTCTCAGGTGCGTTTAACATAACGAGGAATTGATTTATATTGACAAAATCCGAGATAACTCGAAAACATGGAAGACGAAAATTCTAAAGACGAGGAACAGTTAGAAAGGGAGCACTTTTTACGCATAATAAATGCGTTCAAATACTATAGGTATTCCAGAAATCATCCATACATATCTTTTTTCCACTTAGTTAAAAAAATCTGAATATGTTTACATGGCGTCAAACGATTTTCTTTCTATCATGTCCATGTCAACTTTTTGGTATCAACTTCCGTTTGTGTTTACAATACGTGTGAAGCGAATGGATTTCCATACTCTTTTAAAGACTCTTTACACCGTGTGAAGTTTCAGTTTCATACCAGGAAAGAACATTTTTATTTTTGATTTGGCATATAAAACTGTACAAACTATAACACAAGCTCAAGAGACCTTTTGACCGAATACAAAAACATATAAGTAACGTAAAAACAATAAATTATAACAACATACATTACAAATTTGGCATTTATATGTGAAAGAATTGGTTTAACATGTCAGAGTTCTCGAAATCTTTTTTTGCCTCGTGGTCCTTGAAGAAAATATGCAGGTCCTCACTATCATTTCTATTGCAAATTACCAAAATTGTGTTGGTCCTTCCCAAAAATGTGATGGTCAATTCCCTAGGACCACCACTGATCGAAGCAAACTTGAAGTATGATAAAAATGCATCTACTAACAATTTTGGGTACCATGCATATGAATTCCAAGAACTCCCGACCCAAGAACTGAATATTGACCCAGAAACCAATATATGTTACCCGAAAACTTTATTTCATATGGCGTTATACTGCTTTTATAGGTATTAAAGTATCTGATTTTGAGATATAAATCATTTTTACTCAATAAAAGTACAATTTCACTTGCAGGAACTCGATCAGTCAGGGGACTTACTTTAATGAGTGATTTTCTAAATCACTGATTCAAGTAACATTATGTCCTTAAAGGTTGGAAGTAAGAGTTGTCTTTCTTTAATAATCACCTATTTAAGTAGTACAAATTAATCACTAGACTAAGTGATTTAATTTTATTGTAGCTTTAAATATAGAATACTAATGATCCAGGGACTAATTATGTTGCTAAAATTATCAGAACCAACATCTGTGTTGATAGGATGACCGGGTCATGTCAGGTGATGACCTTGTACTAAATCTAGGATAATGACATAAAAATCACTTGTTTAAGTATCATACCTTAATTTCCTTCCAAAAAATCACTTCTTTAAGTATCATTATTTTAATAACCCCCACTAATTTCAACACCCCTGAACAGTGAAATTTTGATCGCGAACAGTAGAATTTTATTACATAATCTAGAAGATGAAACCTTTAATTATACAGGAAAAATACTCCCACTGCAGGGAAAAATCTGTTAAGAAAGTATCAGTTCAATATGTAAAGCCATTTGATAGCATTTTTTCAACAAAAATAGAATTTGCAGCTAAATGATTGCATTAAAGGCATAAACCTAGTTGTTTAAAAGAAGCAAAGAGTTCATTTTTTTTTTCAATTTTACTAATGAAAAGATATTATCTAAACCTATGTGTTTAAAATTTTGATAAAACTACAAAATCACAATTTGTGACAAAACTTCGAATTTGCTACTTAAATAAGTGATTTAAAAATCACTTATTTCAATAAGTCCCCTGACTGTCTATAGATATAGATATGCAAGTTCCGCTAACTAGACATTTCAGCACCCAAGTCTGAAGACATTTCGGCATCCGTTTTGGACATTTCGGTACCAAGACAATTCGGCACCTCTTTTTTCTCTCTAACATCACAGTACCCAAATTGCACCTATTACATGTGTATTAAGAAAAAATAGCAGTAAAAATCTTACATGTTTTCTTAGGGACTTAACAATTTGTATTTTTTTATTATTTGACATTATGCACGTCTTTCAAATAGGCAGTGATTTTGCTAGCGCTCGTCATTTTCGTCATTTACAAAACAGTTTTCAAAATGACGAAAGTATTCCAAATCAATTTCGTCCTTTAAATTTGGAAAGAGTAAAAATATTTTCGCATGAAAATACTACAATTCTACCTGTCTTATTCATGTTATTGTTTCTGACAAGTTTATGACCCTCAGCTTATTAACATTTACAACAGGTGTTATAAGTTGTGATTACAGATAATCCACTTATCGCCATCAGATTGGTCACTAATCCGTTAATTATTAATCAACCTCATAATTGATCATCATCATTATTTTCTCCAGTAAAATCAGTCAGTCGGCATTTCAATTTCAATATTTATCAAACGAGCACAATTTGCAGTTCGTTTGTCTTAGTTTTGTCATTTGAGTTTTCCCTTGGACAGTTCGCATTTTAATTTCAATATTTCTCAAACGATCACAATTTGCAGTTCGCTTGTCGTAGTTTCGTAAAATGAATGTATTTTCTTCATATTTGATATAACTTTGAATCAAAAACTTTCGACAGTTTCGATTAAAAAGATAGAACTTTATTCATAACATTCAGAAATGTTTTAACGAATCAAACAGGTGCTTCCTTTAAGATGAACTGCGCATGCGCGAAAGTATTCTTATGAATTTAAAGACACTAAAACAGAAAATACGAAATAATTAAGTATCAAACTAAACAAGAGAGACAAATATAGTTCTTATTTAGCAAATTTAATTTAAGAAATGATAATTTCCTGCATTTTTTAAACACGAACCAATCCGTAGATGAATCAGGATTCATTCTGAATTTATTATCCACTTGTCACTTCCCTTTTTCATTTCATTTGGAAATCGAAAGTAAACGTGATCTATTCCTGATAAATTTACAATTTAAAGTCATTAGCATAGGCGGATCCAGGGCCCCACCCCCTTTTGTTGGAAAAATTTGGTTGATTATATAGGGAATCACTGTAGCATGACTGGAGCGGGCCCCCCTTAGGTCAGTCAGTGCCCCCCCCCCCCCCGGTCAAAATGTTCTGGATCCACCACTGATTAGAATTGTTCCAATAAGGATTTGTGCAAATTCTTGGTTCCAACTTTATAGAATTAACTCTAAATATCGCTTAAAAACGTTTTTAAGGATAATGAGTATGAATAATACACTGCAGCAGTGAAATAGTCCTTACAAGTTCATTTATGCTGTGATTCCTGGTTTAAAAAAAAATGGATCCCAACTTTTGCTGATTAAGAATGTACCCTGAAACTATCTGAAGTGAAATTGTGAACTAGATTTCTAGATCTTATATCATAATCTTCGTATTGAAGTGCCACATCAGTCAAATCATGCAGTAACTGCCTAGTATGTCTGAGTCCTTCAAAGTCTGACAAAGATGTATATATAGTAATATACATCCTAGGTCCCTTGCTGCTAACCATAATAAGGTTGATTTTCCTCCCGCGCAAAAGTGACTGAAGCCCTCAAAATCCTACATTGTAGCTTAAACCCTGCAAATAGGTATATTTAAATTTTCGCAAAACATTCACAGTATATACATGATATATCAATAGATGAAGTATTCACTCATGTCACTGGAAAAAGTAAAATTACGGAAACGTCGCCATGCGAAAAAAAGTCATCTTTTAAAAATGAGCAAATAAAATATGTTACAAGCATCCATTTCTTAAAAAAATGAATAGTTGGCATGGACTAATGTCAAATTGTTCTAAAAATTTGAAGAAATAAAACAAAACATCTGTTATTCGATTTTTAAGGATGTGAATTTAAGCATGGATGCAATTTGGGTACTCCTCATTACAGAATCATGGATCCTTTGGAGGTCGGTCTAAACCCATTTTTAAAGGCAGTGCTTTAATGCCTTTCTAGTTGCCGGGTTAATCCTTCCTTCCGCGATATCCAACTTATCTACGTGGGGGGTCATTAGACTCCAAGTAGATCCGGAAATGTTGAATTCTCTCCTCTTCTTATTGCGATATAAAATGTTTTTTGTTTCATTTCATTTACATTGGGAAATAGAGAAACGATCATTGTGTTTTGTTAGTTTTAAAAACTTTTGATATATTAGTATTTTGCATTATAAGCAGTCAACCGATTGACAAACTAGAATTATTTGAATTCCGTGTGGAAAGAGCTCGGGTTAATTTCGAGTGTTATCTGCAATCTAGATGTTTATAAATCATTTCAGTCGTTGATATTATAATTAAAGGTCGACTGAACATGAATTAAATTATACAATTTAAAGCGCATTTCTGTTTATGCACGTGAACCCGTCTGACGTTATTTTCGCAGTTATATAAAGTAGCAAATTATCGTTCCTGAATAGGTGGCGCCGTGGTAGCGGATCCTGTTCCTCTTCTTCCGGTTTCTGCACTGTGCAACTATTTCAGTTATATTTTTAATTAACGATGCCAAGTACTTGTTGTTGTGTACCTGGATGTCATTTAAGAGGAGGACATGCATTTCCAAATGACTTAAAAAGAAGGAAAAGTTGGATCAACGCCATGGCCCATACGCAGATTGGACGAGAACACGATGATATCGTGGAGTCCATCTCAATCAGCTGTTGTTTGCAAGGCACGTTTTACTGAAAAAGACTACGTGCAGGAAACTATTCATGGTAAAACTCTATTTTCTTTGTGAAATATATAGTTGTATATGTAATCGCCATGCGAATAAACCAAAGTCTGTTTACAACCGCAATTATCGTTTTAGAATAAAAGGGGGTGGGTAATTCAAGACGTCATAATTTTTTGGATTACGATTCAATGTGATCTGTTTGAGATTTTTTGGTGATTGCTACAATTATAATGATTTCTTACAAGAGGTATATCATACTGAGAATTATTTTAGCAGTAATTATGCTAATGTAGTAATGACAGGAATGCATAAGCTATGCCTCATAGACTTTCTTGAAAAATATCAATGACAATGTTAACAGGAACAAAACAATGACATGCTCTCATCTATATTATAGTTATTTAGGTACAAACAATGTACGTTTGTTGCATAAGTCTCTCATTGTTTGTCCTTTGGATTTACATAACATACATTGAATCAGGCAAACATAGTTTTATCCAGATTGTAATGAATAAATCTAGTTAATATTTCGCCAGGTAGTACAAAGTATACATTGCTAATGGAAGTTCATTTAATTATAAAAAAAACTAATGTTTTATAACCTTTTTCAGGGCGCAAACCCACCATACAGAGACTTAAGTCTACTGCAATTCCCAGCCTATTTTCCTGGACCAAGCAAGAGACTGAATCGTCTGCAAAAAGAAAAATCAGGGCAGTTTCCTGTGAAAACAAAAGAATTAAACTTGATGAATATTGTAGTAGAAATCTAGAGGAAAGTTTTGATTGTAAAGTTGGTTTTCCTGAAGAAGTCATTCATACTGCAGAAAGGATTTATGACTGTCCACCACCAACTGCCGAGCTAATGTTGAGCTTCACAGATGGAATTACGCAAACACCATCAATGCCTATGTTTTCAGCAGAGAATTTTGAAATGAAGACACGTGACACAGCCATGCATTTTTATACCGGTTAAGAGTTGTATACTAAATTTTTATTTGTTTTGACCACACTTGGTCCAGCAGCACATTGTTTGAGATACATATATTTTCAAATTGATAGGGTGTCAGTTGAAAATCAGTTTTTTTATGATTTTGATGAAATTGAGGCATCATACAACCAACTTTGAACTGTCTAGATTCTAGATTGAATCTAGTGTTAAGAATATTGTGTATACATGGATTGTTTTTATGTCTAAACAGTGGTGTGAGGCTAACACTTGGCCATCTAGTGGTTTAGTCAGGTATTTTTCACCATCCAACTTCAAATTAAAGTTTCCTACGACTTGGATTATTATTGACAGCACAGAATATCCCGTGATAAAACCTAAAGCTCCTAGAGCTCAGGCAACCTTTTCATCAAATAAAAACAGAAACACTGAAAATTCTTGAATGTTCGACACCTGGTGGTTTAGTCAATTATGTCTCTATGTCACATAGAGCGAATTATTGGACTTGGCAAAACATACAAAATTCTAATAAATCCTATGAATGGAACTGAAACAAAACTTTCATCTGAAATAACATTTAGTTGTTAGCTCACCTGGCCCAAAGGGCCAAGTGAGCTTTTCTCATCACTTGGCGTCCGTCGTCCTGCGTCCGTCGTATGTAAACTTTTACAAAAATCTTCTCCTCTGAAACTACTGGGCCAAATTTAACCAAACTTGGCCAATATCATCATTAGGGTATCTAGTTTAAAAAATGTGTCCGGTGACCCGGCCAACTAACCAAGATGGCCGCCATGGCTAAAAATAGAACATAGGGATAAAATGTAGATTTTGGCTTATATCTCTGAAACCAAAGCATTGAGAGCAAATCTGACAAGGGTAAAAATGTTTATTAGCTCAAGATCTATCTGCCCTGAAATTTTCAGATGAATCTGACAACCCGTTGTTAGGTTGCTGCCCCTGAATTAGTAATTTTAAGGAAATTTTGCCTTATTTGGTTATTATCTTGAATATTATTATAGATAGAGATAAACTGTAAACAGCAATAATGTTCAGCAAAGTAAGTTCTACAAATAAGTCAACATGACCAAAATGGTCAGTTGACCCCTTAAGGAGTTATTGCTCTTTTCTAGTCAATTTTTAACAATTTTTCGTAAATTTTTGTTATCTTTTACAATCTTCTCCTCTGAAACTACTAAGATGAATTTAACTAAAGTTGTAAACAATCATCATTAGGGTATGTAGTTTAAAAATTGTGTTTGATGACCCCGCCCTCAAACCAAGATGGCCGACATGGCTAATAATAGTACATAGGGTAAAATGCAGTTTTTGGCTCATATATCTAAACCCAAAGCATTTCTAGCAAATCTTTTAAAAACAAAATTGTTCATTAGGTCAAGATCTATCTGCCCTTAAATTTTCAGACCATTCAGGCAACCCGTTGTTGGGTTGCTGCCCCTGAATTGGTAATTTTTAGAAATTTTTTCAGCTTTTGGTTATTTTCTTGAATATTATTATAGATAGAGATAAACTGTAAAGAGCAATAATGTACAGCAAAGTAAGACCTACAAATAAGTCACATGACCAAAATGGTCATTTGACCCCTTAAGGAGTTATTGCCCTTTATAATAAATTTTTAACAATTTTCATAAATTTTGTAAATTTTTACAAAATAATTTCCACTGAAACTACAGGGCCAAGTTCATTATAGATAGAGATAATTGTAAGCATCAAGAATATTCAGTAAAGTAAGATCTACAAACACATCACCATCACCAAAACACAATTTTGTCATGAATCCACCTGTGTCCTTTGTTTAATATGCACATAGACCAAGGTGAGCGACACAGGCTCTTTAGAGCCTCTAGTTTTATGTTGTGTAATTTTAGAACTTGTATTGTGCCAAAGGATGCATAAATAAAAGTGACGCAATGAATTTTGTTCTGATATATATATATTTACAATAACATGCACATGTAAATTGTAATCATATAAAAATAAGGAGATGTGGTATGATATTCAGTGAGTTTATCAAACTAAAGTGCATAAGAAATGGGTTTAAGCAGTTACAGGTGTTACTGTCACCGTACAATCTCCAACAATGAGAAAAACTCGTACCCTGTAAAAAATTTCAGAGATCTTACAACTAAGTTTTGTTGTCTCACCTTGACTTTGGTGAATTTTTTATATCTGTTGATGTAAATATAAAAAAGAAGATGTGGTATGATTGCCAATGAGACAACTCTCCACACATGCACAAGAGACCAAATGACACAGAAATTAACAGCTATAGGTCACAGTAAGGCCTTCAACAATGAGCAAAGCCCATACCGCACAGTCAGCTATAAAAGGCCCAGAAATGACAATGTAAAACAATTCAAACAAGAAAACTAACGGCCTAACAGCACAGTGTATTGCACAACAGCAAGAAATCTTTAATTGAATATAAATTCAATTCATATAACTGATTTCAAGTTCATTGACTACATTTATTCAGAAACTATAATATGTCAAATATTTAATTACAATCCAAATTCAGACCTGTATCAAGCTTGAATATTGTGTCCATTTTTGCCCCAGCTGTTCAGGGTAGTACCTGTGCGGGTGTATCCAGCTGCGCTCAGCGAATCAGTTTATTTCTTAATTAAGAACTCCTTTTTATACGACCGCAAAAATTTTTTATCGTATATTGGTATGACGTTGGCGTCGTCGTCGTCCGAAGACACATTAGTTTTCGCACTCTAACTTTAGTTTAAGTGAATGGATCTCAATGAAATTTTAAAATAAGGTTCAATACCACAAAAGGAAAGTGGGAATTGATTTTGGGGGTTATGGTACCAACAGTTAAGGAATTAGGGGCCAAAAAGGGGCCAAAAATAAGCATTTTTGTAACTTCCAGACATAACTTGTGTGTAAGTGTATGGATCTCTCTGACATTGTACCACAAGGTTCCATATCACAAAGGGAATGGTGGGATTGATTTTTGGGGGTAATTGCCTCCAAATTTTAGGAATTAGGGGCCAAAAAGGGGCAAAAAACAAGCATTTTTCTAGTTTCATGACAATAACTTGTGTGCAAGTCTATGGATCTCTCTGACATTGTATCACAAGGTTCCATATCACAAAGGGAATGCTGGGATTGAATTTGGGGGTAATTGCCTCCAAATTTTAGGAATTGGGGGCCAAAAAGGGGCAAAAAACAAGCATTTTTCTAGTTTCATGGCAATAACTTGTGTGTAAGTGTATGGATCTTTATGAAATTGTACTACAAGGTTCCATATCACAAAGGGAAAGCTGGAATTGAGTTTGGGGGTAATTGCCCAAAAAGTTTAGGAATAAGGGGCCAAAAATAAGCATTTTTCTAGTTTCCAGACAATAACTTGTGTTCAAGTGTATGGATCTCTCTGAAATTGTACTGCAAGGTACCATACCACAAAGGGAATGCTGGGATTGATTTTGGGGGTAATTGCCTCCAAATTTTAGGAATTAGGGGCCAAAAAGGGGCAAAAAACAAGAAACCTATGCTGTGTCAAATATTTAATTACAATCCAAATTCAGTGCTGAATCAAGCTTGAATGTTGTGTTCATACTTGCCCCAACTGTTCAGGGTTCGACCTCTGCTGTCGTATCAAGCTGCGCCCCAGCGGAGCATTTTATTTCATTCATAAATTACTTTATGCTTGGAAATATAATTTTGCTTGGAGTTGAATTAGTTGACATGTTGCAATGTACATTTACTCTACATAGTTCTATGGTACCAAATCAAAAGTTTATATAAAGAAAGAAGTCAAAGGTTTCCCATCATAGTTTAGTTACATACATTTTTTTTGTACCTGAGGTCGTTGAATATAGATCATTATATAAATAAGGAGATGTGTTATGATTGCCAATGAAAAAACTAAGGATTTTCTTATCCAAGGAATAGATTACCTTAGCCGTATCTGGCACAACTTTTTGGAATTTTGGGTCCTCAATGCTCTTCAACTTTGTACTTGTTTGGCTTTGTTACTATTTTGATCTGAACGTCACTGATGAGTCTTATGTAGACAAAACACACGTCTGGCGTATTAAATTATAATCCTGGTACCTTTGACAACTAATTTGACTATAAACATAGATAAAAAAGGTACAAACTGGACATAATGCACTAGTTCATAAACAAGTGAGAACAATCGCCTTCATATAGTGCTCAGAATATGACATTCATAAAACTTATTCAATATCATTAGAGAACTCTAAATCTTAAATACTGAAAGCCACCTCTGATAAGTACACTGTACTATGCAAGATAATGATATAACTGGACTTAAAATACTCACAACCTGTAATTAACTGCCTTTACAGCGCTTTCGTGCTTTGATTCTATGATTCAATATGGAATCCAAATAAAATTGGTGGAACTATATAGTAAATAAGGATACATCTACAAAATAAACACATTAACTTTTGACTTTAATTATTTATCTCTTGTAATTTTTTATGAACTGTGTATTTGCATTCAGGTGTCACAGGTCAAATTTATTTGTTCATTGTGTGTTAATTTACGTTTTTTGAATGAGTTAAGCATTCCAATTGATATTTTATAGTGTGTTTTGCTATGTTGTGATGTTATACTATTGTTTCAGAAAAGGGAGAAGGTTTGGTACCATTAAAACGTTTAATCCCGCTGCAAATGTTTGCACCTGTCCTAAGTCAGGAATCTGATTACAGTAGTTGTCGTCTGTTTATGTAGTTCATACATGTTTCTCGTTTTTAGCTCACCTGACCTGAAAGGTCAAGTGAGCTTTTCTCATCACTTTGCGTCCGTCGTCCGTCGTCCGTAAACTTTTACAAAAATCTTCTCCTCTGAAACTACTGGGCCAAATTTGACCAAACTTGGCCACAATCATCATTGGGGTATCTAGTTTAAAAAATGTGTCCGATGACCCCGCCAACCAACCAAGATGGCCGCCATGGCTAAAAATAGAACATAGAGGTAAAATGTAGATTTTGGCTTATATCTCTGAAACCAAAGCATTTAGAGTAGAGCAAATCTGACATGGGGTAAAATTGTTTATCAGGTCAAGATCTATCTGCCCCGAAATTTTCAGATGAATCGGACAACCCGTTGTTGGGTTGCTGCCCCTGAATTTGTAATTTTAAGGAAATTTTGCCGTTTTTGGTTATTATCTTGAATATTGTTATAGATAGAGATAAACTGTAAACAGCAATAATGTTCAGCAAAGTATGATCTACAAATAAGTCAACTTGACCAAAATGGTCAGTTGACCCCTTAAGGAGTTATTGCCCTTTATAGTCAATTTTTAACCATTTTTCGTAAATTTTTGTAATCTTTTACAAAAATCTTCTCCTCTGAAACTACTAAGACAAATTTAACCAAAATTGTCCACAATCATCATTAGGGTATTTAGTTTAAAAAATGTGTCCGATGACCCTGCCCGCAAACCAAGATGGCCGACATGGCAAAAAAATAATACATAGGGTAAAATGCAGTTTTTGGCTCATATCTCTGAAACCAAAGCATTTAGAGCAATCTGATGGTATAAAATTGTTCATTAGGTCAAGATCTATCTGCCCTGAAATTTTCAGACCAATCAGGCAACATGTTGTTGGGTTGCTGCCCCTGAATTGGTAATTTTAAGAAAATTTTGCAGCTTTTGGTTATTATCTTGAATATTATTATAGATAGAGATAAACTGTAAACAGCAATAATGTACAGCAAAGTTAGATCTACAAATAAGTCAACATGAACAAAATTGTCAATTGACCCCTTAAGGAGTTATTGCCCTTTATAGTCAATTTTTTACAATTTTCATAAATTTTGTAAATTTTTGTAAATTTTTACAAAATATTTTCCACTGTAACTACTGGGCCAAGTTCATTATAGATAGAGATAATAGTAAGGAGCAAGAATGTTCAGTAAAGTAAGATCTACAAACACATCACCATCACCAAAACACAATTTTGTCATGAATCCATCTGTGTCCATTGTTTAATATGCACATAGACCAAGGTGAGCGACACAGGCTCTTTAGAGCCTCTAGTTTGGCTCACCAGAGCCATAAGGGCCCCATGTGAGCTTATGCCATCACTTGGAGTCCATCGTCTGTCGTCGTCGTCTGTTGTCGTCTGTCATTGTCTGTCTTCGTAAACTATTTCAAAAATCTTCTCCTCTGAAACAACTGGGCCAAATACCTTCAAACTTTAACTAAATGTTCCTTAGGGTATCTAGTTTATAAATTGTATCTGAAGTTTTGATCCAATGACAAACATGGCTGCCATGGCTGAAAATAGAACATGGGGGTCAAATGCAGTTTTTGGCTTATATCTCAAAAACTAAAGCTTTTAGAGCAGATCTGACATGGGGTAAAATTGTTTAATTGGTCAAGATCTATCAGCTCTGAAATTTTCAGACGAATCGAACAACCCATTGTTGGGTTGCTGCCACCGAATTAGTAGTTTTAACAAAATTTTGCAGTTTTAAGCTGACCGGGGCTCTAAGGGATCCATGTGAGCTTATGCCATCACTTGGCTCCGTTGTTGTCCGTCGTCTGTTGTCCTAATCAATTTCATAAATCTTCTCCTCTGAAACTACTGGGCCAAATACCTTCAAACTTTAACTTAATGTTCCTTAGGGTATCTAGTTTATAAATTGTATCTGAAGTTTTGATCCATCGACAAACATGGCCGCCATGGCTAAAAGTAGAACATAGGGGTCAAATGCAGTTTTTGGCTTATATCTCAAAAACTAAAGCTTTTAGAGCAAATCTGACATGGAGTAGAATTGGTCAATTGGTCAAGATCTATCAGCTATGAAATTTTCAGACGAATCGAACAACCCATTGTTGGGTTGCTGCCACCGAATTGGTAGTTTTAATAAAATTTTGCAGTTTTTTGTTATTATTTTGAATATTATTATAGATATATATAAACTGTA